TCCGATAATGCTACTCTGATATACTTTACACGCCTTATGTGCGTCGACTTTTATTGCCTCAAGTTGCAAGTCGTCACGGTATCCCTGCAGCGCCACCTTTATCAGCACACCACTGCCCGCATCCACCACTGAACATGTTTAATATTGACTATAAAGCCCATAAAGTGTGATGCAGCGCTGGCCCTGTCACCACGTTTTCTCAGTAATGTCAATGTACATAATTAATCTCATGCGTTTCTGATAGATTTTAAACGCTACTTTATCATTTGAGAGGAAAGAGGGGGCGAGGGTCGTTTTTTTTTTTCTAAAGAGAGAAGATCTAAATAAGACTGACCTCTTTGCTCTAGAATGTTATGAGAGGAGCTGATAGAGGAATTATTTATTCAGTTAAGTGGGGTGTAGCCTGCAGCAAGAAAGAGTCGACTGAGCATCATCCTCTTGTGTTGCTTTTTACTCGTGTTTCCAAAACAACAAATACCTGTATATATATATATATATATATATATATATATATACACACACACACACACACACACACACACAAGTGTGTGCGCAAATCCTGAACTTAATTCTGCCCCCAAGCTCATTTTTGTGATTATTTGTACCTCTTTATTATTAGTGGCTGCCTTTAAAGCAGCCCCTGTACTTTTTGTTCTTCTGCTTTCTTCCTTTCATAACTTTGCTGCTGTAAATTGGGAATTTCTCCATTGTGAGACGAATAATATATATATATATATACACATAGTCAGTCAACAAGTAATGCAAAGTGTTTGCTGTCAAAAACATGTTTTTTCAAAGATATCAGAATGAACTGTGAGATAAACGCATGAAAAGCTTTGAAGGCGAGTTTTGACCTTGATGATGTTGATATCTCCTGGCTGATACCATTACACCATTTAGTCATCATTTATTCATCACATCTCCCACTATTAAAATACAGCACCACTTGAGAGTATCTGATAAACACCAGCCTGTCTCCAATGCCCTCAACTCAATCATGTCATGTACACCTGAGAAGGAAAATTATACATTATTACCCATCCAAAATTATTTTTGCTTTAATTTTAAATCAAATTTTTTTAAAAAGTCATGTCATGCTATACTTCTTGCACAGTGCTTTAGGTAGTGAATGCAATGTGGAGTTAAAATGATGGTGGCAAAGGTAAATAATAATTATCTATCTATCTATCTATCTATCTATCTATCTATCTATCTATCTATCTATCTATCTATCTATCTATCTCTCTAATTTTTGCTTAATCCAGCGTGCAAAACTACAAGCACAATGCAATATACAGCTGCCTCCGTCATACTCTACTGTAGATGGAATTGAGAAAATTCCAGAATATATTGCCAACCCAGCACATAAAATTGAAAATAATAACAGGATCGGGTGGTGTATTTGACAGGAGAAAAGAAGGAAAAAGAAAATACTTCATAACTTTCTTCTCCCTTCTATTTCTATTAGAGAGCGCCAGCTGTTGCTCCCACAGAACAGCTCTCAGCGAGAGATGGAGGGCCAGTGGGAAGGTACAATCTTATATAGTAGAAACGTGTTGATCTAGAGACGACAAATGTAATTATCGGACTGTTTTGGGCCACACAAGTCATTTTCGACACCATCATATCGTCATATTAGCGTCATATTGAGGGAAATATCTTTCATCAAAAACAATTCCTTTCTCAGATCCTCCTTCAATTTTCTTGCCCATGGTTTGGTCAACGGTGGTTTGTGCCAAAGATTTCACGCGAGATAAACCATCAAAACAGGATGCGAGCTTAATTATGGTTCTCTCTCATAAATAAAAAGAGGCTTGTGTTTTTGGCTAACCGATACCATTGGGACCAGCCGGGTAGTTTCCTGTACGTGGATGGATTTCCTCCCAGAGCGCCACTCTTCACTGTGACCAGCCTGCAACTACCAAAAAACTTTTCTGTCAGTACACTCAATGCAATGAGAGAGAGAGGCTACCCTGATTACAATATGCAGTGGTGACAATCACCACCACGGTTCGGTGTGGTGTCACTCTAATTCAACTGTGCTGTATATGTTATAAAATCCACAGTGAATTAATACTTAAGCTATTTATGCAGAAAGAGTCACTTTTTCTTATTCTGTAGAGCCCCTATCAGCTGACAAAGACATACTGGATGATGACTAAGGATCAAAAAGTTCAGTTGCCCGAAGTCCCCTCAATATGCTTCTATTTGCCAGTCTTATGGCCAGCTGTGAGGCAAACAACGGATGGCCTTGCATTACTCTGATGGTCAACTCTCGATATGCGCTGTCTCCTTAGCGTTCAGTTATGAGCGCGCGGCTGGCAACCAGTTCAGGGTGTGCTCTGTACACCACATGACAGACAGCTGGGAGAGGCTCCATTATTCCTGTGAGCCTAGTGAGGATAAGCGACTCGGATAGTGGATGGATGGATTTGGGGATATTTTACTTCATTTTTAGCGGCAAATGTAAGGCTTGCCACTGCTGTGTTGTATTTATGACATTGGCTTAAAACAAGGTCGCACTTCACAACTCAATTAAGTCCTTTCCACTTTAAAAGCAGCTGGAAACTGATATTCGCGCAGCAGCTCGCGTCATTGGCATGTATCATGTTGATGTATGCAACTTCAAGGCCGTTATGTTTTTTTTTTCCCCCTGCCTGAGACTACCGGTTGTCAAGGCGCCCACCCTTTATTTCTAGTCTTTTCTCAATCAAGGTAAATTGAAAAATAGGTTGACACGCTCGTGTGTCCTTTTGTGTACTCTAATGTCCTTGTGAATACTTCGTTAGCTCTCATTTCCTGCAGTTGATTGCGAATAGTTGCCACCCGTAGTTTTAGAAAACCAGTTGAGAATTATTTCGATATCCTTGATATCCAGTTCAGGGTCCATATCCTACGATGTTCTTCATCTTGTCTATAGTCAGACAATTTCGCAGTACGAGAAGAATGACTGTTTGAAGTGGCTTCTTTTGTCCACACCTCTTTTGGCATCTTGCATAAAAACCTCACAGGTATGCTACAAGGCCCAACTAGTAGGCATGTTTAAAACCCTATTATCTTCTTTCTAGTGAAGCAGTAGGTGTTAGCTAGTAGAATTTTTATTTGTAAGGCTGCAGCTATTGTATATTTTCATACTTTTGGAATTGATCATGATAGCAATTGATTAATTATATTGTTTAATTATTCAATTGTATTGTTTAATGATTCAAAATAAACAAATAGCCAACAATTACGGACTTTCGACCCAAGAGACGGCCGTTCAATCCCTTTTCTCGGGTTGAGGTGGTAAACAAATGGAGCAAAGAAGAAGGGTGATTTTGTTGCTATGGATCTACGGAGCTTTCGGTCCAATTACTTTCCTTCGTGACCGAGCCCGAACGCTCCAACATAAAGTGGTGACTCAGAAGCATGATGCAATTGTCAGCACACAACCTCATGGGCCTCTCAGCTCTGTCGCCTTTTCTCTGGCTCTCTTGCCACCCTCCTCCTTTTCCTCGGGACACATTCATCCCTCAAAGTTGTCACTTCTTTCTTGCTTACATATCTTTTATCTCATATTATAGCTTCATGTCCTTTCTTTCTCTCCCATCGCTTTCTCTGACCTTGCTGTTACATCGATCAAGTTCAGGGCTCGTAAGATGATGCGAGTCATTTCAAGCTGTAATTTCCCAAACGCTAAGCCTTTCCCCACCTGTGTTGGTCCCCCCACACACACTCCACCCTCCTAGGTCATTGAAAAAGGCAGCGTACTGGATGGAAAGAAGCATGAAAAGGGGTGAGTCGAGGAGCTGCATTGAGCCAAACATCCAGTCTACAGTAGAATCTCCAAAGTCATGTGGCCCTCAGGTCTTACAATTTGCCGACCAAAGGTCTGACTATAAAGTCAAACGGAGCTCTGGTGTTCGGTCAGCTGTCCATTGAGCAAAAACAAAAGATGAACTCCTGTATGTTTTGACATTCTTTAACTTTTTTCTCCAACAGGAAAAACATCCATTCATACTCACATTCACACTGATGGACAATTTATACTCTCATTTAACATAACACGCATGCTTTTGAATGTGGGAGGATGACACGGTACCCAGGGAAAACCCAGAAAAGCATGCAGATTGCACACAGGAAGGCAGGATGGTCCAACCGCGAAGGTCACAACTGTGAGGCAGATAGCTAACAACATCTCCGGCATTGTGCCCAAAATGGTTGTGTGGTGCGTTTAGTTTTAACCATCTGCTTGGTAGAATTATTTTGTGCATCTAAATGTATTACCTCTTGAGCTTCCGAATGTCGCAAAAAGTTGCATTTCCTCTTTGACGGTTATGGTCACGGTTTCCCTCCGGGCTGGAATCTCATGAGATTAGCCGATATCATGCATGAAATCATATTTCTTCCCTTTCTATTTCATTGAACTCCATATTGTATCGCTTTTGGCTGGTTTCACTGCACTTCCATTATTTACCATGGAAATATCCAAACAAATTAGAGGTCAACCAGTTCCCCGGAACAAATGCTGTTTGAGTTTAACACTGCAGTAGATTTTCGCATGCCTGAAATAGCCAAAACGACCACACAAAGTTCTGTCCACACAATGCTTTTGTGTTCACACAGGAATGATACTGCATGTACATCGTCTTAGGCATCACATTTAATTAAAATGTTCAGGGTCAAGACCTGTGTGCGGCTCTCCATACAGGGCTCGTCATTCAACTGCGAGCCAACAGAATGAGTATGAGAAGGGAGAGATCAACGCCACAGCCCAGTGCACCCTCCTCGTGGAGCCTGCATCAGACCGTCAGAAATGTCAATGACGGCTACGCTGCGGTAAGAGCAGGAGAAGAGCAGAAAGGAGAGGAAGTGGTCGGTTTGATGGGAGCAGGCAATTTCGAAAACATGAGGTGCAGAAAGGGCTGAATAAACAGATGAGTGGAGGGGAAAAAAAGGTGTGGCTGAGAGGTGACGCTATCATGCAGAGGAGAATCCATTTATACCATGGGGGAAATGGATAGATAAACTAATGAAACCTTTAGCTGTTCACGCTGATGGAAAACGGATCAATAACTTGCAGTTAGCAT